GCAAAGACACGCTGGTCTGGCGAAAAGCAGGCTAATCAACCAACTGGTAGTATTTTGTGGATGGCACCAGAAGTGATACGCATGCAAGAACAAAACCCATACTCTTTTCAATCTGACGTGTACGCTTTTGGAATAGTTGTGTATGAACTCTTGGCAGAATGCTTACCATATAGCCACATAAATAATAAAGATCAGATTCTATTTATGGTGGGACGCGGACTCCTTCGACCTGATATGACTAGAGTACGTTCGGACGCTCCACAAGCATTAAAACGCCTGGCTGAAGATTGCATCAAATTTGATCGAAATGATCGTCCTCTATTTCGGCCACTACTAAATATGCTTGAAAATATGTTAAGAGCAATGCCGAAAATTCATCGCAGTGCCAGTGAACCAAATATGACGCAAACGCAGTTGCATAGTGAAGATTTCTATCAATGTCCCAGCCCCAAAACACCGGTGAATTTCAGTAATTTCCAATTCTATAATAGTGCTGGCAATATCTAGCGCTGCTGATCCGACGCTACAATTGTGATAACCCTAATGCGGAACAGACGACGTCGTTTGTGAATAGAAAGAAAACGATCGTGCCATAAGGCTGGACAATGACGTCACGTTCCAAAGTTTAGATGAGTGAAAAGGGAATATCTTAGAATGAAATGTTTTTGATGTCACCTTGACTCAAACCGGCAAATACTTAAAATAATGTCTCACTTTTATCTTTGACTAAGCTCCTACACATTGTAATTTGTTATATAAAATCCTAATAAGGTAGAGATAGATTTAATACCCTGTACAAACAGGTGAAAAAATAGTTAGTTGGCACCGATTTGGTGCGTTAGAAAGCATATAATCATCTAATATCTGGCTTAGCCTGATAAATATTTTATGAAGACATGTGTAAGGGTTCGATTAAAATTGTGGGGATCTGTAAACAGTTTAAAAATTTAAGTAGCATAATTAAGTGAAAATTGAGATTGTAACTATAACTTAAATATTACAAATGCATTTTATGTATACATTAAATATTGTGTAAATGATGAACAACTAAGATCTATATATATACATAAACTTATACATAAATGTAAAGTACTTCGCAAGACAGGTGTTAACCTACATGCATAACTGAAACCTGTGTAACTAAGAAATAAAAAATAACCAAAAAATACCAACGAATTCTACATGGTTTCTTTTGGCAAGTATAAAAAGCGGGCCAGACGTAGCAATGAAATATATTTCGAAAAGGCTGTCAAATTGAGAAATTTTAGAAAGCAGTTGCATAAGTTTTTTATTTCCGAAAGGGATTAATTTTCGAAAAGTGACAGAAATATCTTTCTGGCTGTTCTCACGTGGAAATAAAATTTCTTTCTCAATTTGACAGCGAATTAGGTCGGTGTTATGCAGACAAACTTTTGTTTGCCAAATTAAATGGCGGCTGCTTAGTTTGCTCGGAGGTCGTTATGTCGAGTTTGGCACAGGGTTGCACGTTCATTATGGTTTTCATGGCTATTGCCAACACGAAATGAGAATTTCAGATGTACATAACGCGCACAATTTAAAATATTTGTATATGACAACACCGAATTTGCTGCAGTTTGACCAAACAAAAT